CGTCTCATTGATAGCAGGTTGTAGCCCAGTGTCGTGGTTTTATCGTCTCACTGATACAAGGTTGTAGCCCAGTGTCATTGTTTTTTTCCCCCGCCTCATTGATAGCAGGTTGTAGCCCAGTGTCGTGGTTTTTTCGTCTCATTGATAGCAGGTTGTAGCCCAGTGTCGTGGTTTTATCGTCTCACTGATACAAGGTTGTTGCTGTGACGACACGCTCGTATATCAGCAAAAGACAGGAAACTATACATAACTCCTCTCTGCGATGATTTACGGCATATGTATGAAGGCTAATGAAGAAGAAGATAGACATTAACAATAATTACTGCATGAATATGCTTTTAAAAAAAATCGAAGCTGGATTTATCAGGCAAGAATGGATTGCAACACTATGAACTTCACAAATAGCTGCCCTAACCTTCATCTTTGTGCCAGGTCATGCGGGTGTTTAAGGGAACGAGCGTGCAGACTATGTTGCTTATACTGCGGGTGCTATGGCTGGTCCAGCACTGGATAGAAGTGATGTTATCAATGCCATGCGCTGCATTTACCGTACCAAGGGGCACGCCAAAGGACATAACTCCGTATCCCTGACTAGACTGAGGGACACGGGTGTGCAGCTTGGAGCTGCAAGAAATGAACATTTCACTAAGGGGATAAGACGTTTCATTAACCATCACAGAACAGACACCATCAGTCGTTTTACAATTGTTGAGCTTTTGAGGAGAAGATCCGAGCACCTATGGATCTATCCAGAGTGCGGCGATGAAAATCCTTTCTAATCACTAATCACTGCAGTTTATAAAAATACTACAGGTACTTTTCATAAGACATGTGACTTTCTACTAGACCAGTGGCTCTCAACCTTCATAATGCCGGGACTCCTTCATGCAGCTCCTCTTGTTGTGGCGACCCTTTGTAATGATGCTATAAACAGGGATAACGTCAGGGGATGACTGGCATAATTGGTTAAGTGCCTGATAGCATGGGTTTGTGAAGCTGAATCTGTGAAGGTGAATCCAGAGTGAGAAGTGCACGTGGATCTGAATAAGAGCCGAATGAATGTTAGTGCTGAACGACAAGACAGGCAGCGCTATTGAATGATCGTTTAGGCCAGCCGTTGTGTTTCACGGTATGTTTGTTGAGTCAGCCGTGCACATGATAGTGTCCATCGTTTGAAGCATGGCTAGAGACTCAATGCGTGAGCAAGGCGAGATTGCCCGAATGGCGTAAGTTGGTTCATCTGTTGATTCGTGTCTCGTGCTACAATGACAATAAACCTGTAAAATGTGTCAGCTGTTGTCAACCGTCATTTGAAGTTGTGTGGCCATGGAGAGAAGTGCCGTCTGGCTAGAATGAATTGTGATCTAACACCTAGACAGTGAAGTCAGTGTTGAATCTGCACTAGAAAGATCAAGTGTGGAGGAGACAACATTACATTCATTAGTACAGTCATTACACTCATGTTGTGGCGACCCTTTAATACAGTTCTTTATGTTGTAGCGACACTTTCATAAAGGTCCTCATGTTGTGGCGACCCTTTAATACAGTTCCTCATGTTGTGGCGACACTTTAATAAAGGTCCTCATGTTGTGGCGACACTTTAATAAAGGTCCTCATGTTGTGGCGACCCTTTAATACATGTCCTCATGTTGTGGCGTCCCTTTATTACAATTCCTCATGTTGTGGCGACACTTTAATAAAGGTCCTCATGTTGTGGCGACCCTTTAATACATGTCCTAATGTTGTGGCGACCCTTTAATACAATTCCTCATGTTGTGGCGACACTTTAATAAAGGTCCTCATGTTGTGGCGACCCTTCAATACAGTTCCTCATGTTGTGGCGACCCTTTAATACAGGTCCTCATGTTGTGGCAACCCTTTAATACAGGTCCTCATGTTGTGGCGACCCTTTAATACAGTTCCTCATGTTGTGGCGACCCTTTAATACAGGTCCTCATGTTGTGGCAACCCTTCAATACAGTTCCTCATGTTGTGGCGACCCTTTAATACAGGTCCTCATGTTGTGGCAACCCTTCAATACATTTCCTCATGTTGTGGCGACCCTTTAATACAGGTCCTCATGTTGTAGCGACCCTTTAATACAGTTCCTTATGTTGTAGCGACCTTTTAATACAGTACCTCATGTTGTAGCGATCCCCAACTATACCATTATTTTCGTCGCTACTTCATAACTTCAAAGAATTGTTTCGCGATGGCATTTGTCGACGCCTGCGAAAGGGTCGTTCGACACCAAAAAGGGTGGCGATCCATAGGTTGAGAACCTCTGTTCTAGACCCTTGACACGATTTTTTTTTTTTTTTGGTTAAGTTTATCCTGTTACAGCTCAAATGACGTAAATATTACTATCAAGCAGGAAGTATAATGATCTTCTGTTATTCAGTTCCTCTTTCTTTCAATGCCGGCGTTTGTGGCTTGGGTATCGCGAACCCGCTTCGTAATGCCAGGGTGCTGGGTTTGATCCCACTGTAGGTGATTTAACAGCAGACCGCCTTGCCTTGGTTTCGACAGTAGTATTGACAGCCGACCGTTCATATAATTCGCCACGGGTTACAGTGGCTTGTTGCGTGAAAGGTGTTTACGCTCTTTCTGAGGACACAGTACAAAATGGATAGACGTTAAGAAACGAGTCAGTCCTTTAAGAAACAAACGGAAACCGCAAAATTAATTCTCCCCCCCCCCCCTGCTTTTTTCTTTCCTATTGCGATACTTCGAGGTTCACTGCTGCAAATATCACTAGCCTCCATTGATCTCTTTCCAGTTTGTAATCAAGTATTTGTGCGCCTGCTAGTATATTATCTCTACACTGTCTTCATATTCTGCCTTGTGGTCTGCTTCCATTGAACTCGCTTGTCTATATAGTTTGTGTCTCTGTGTTATCTGCCCATCCCCTACATGCCCCAAACAGTGATGATCTAACTTACAGATTCTTCAAGTCAGAACAACACTGGGTGGTTTTTCAGAGTACAACCATGCAAGCGATGGACAAACTCTCCGTCGGAGGCCCAAGAAGACTGCGTCCTCGTTTAGGAACTAGCCTTTCACTGGGCGTGCCAAAGAAGCAGGTTGGGTCAATATCTTTTATATTTGATTTATTTATGACGTATGTATTTGTCAATATACTCTTCAGAGTAACGGCTTTTGCTTTGTTAGCAGATGTCACACGAAACAAGAAGCTGGGAAAAGACAAGATTATAACAAAAGAAAAATATGTCAGATTATCACATGAAAATATTATACCACTCAGCACACTCGTTATCATTATTATTATTATTGTTATTATTATTACTACTATTATAGGGGCTACTGAGTTGAAATAGCTTTGACAGATTCTCAGAATGCCATAGACCTAGAAGAAAAGAAACACTAACACCCTGAAACAGTGATTCCCAAACTGTGAGCCGCGGCGCCGGGAAATATTCGAAGATACACGAGTTTTAAAAATCTCTTACATACGAATAGTCATACGTTTGCTTAGGTTAGAGCACCGTGGAACAATTTTAATTAAAAAAAAAAAAAAAAAAAAGACGCCGCGGCCAACAAAAGTGTTGGAAACACTGCCTTAAAGACATGAACATTCAGGAAGATTGGCTGGTCAACAGCATTTGGTCTCAGAAACTGAAATATTGTGGCCATATCAAGCGCCACAGCAGATTAGAACAAATAATGGCAGACGGCGTTGTACCAGAAAATAGGGACAGAGGCCAACCATGATGAAGATGTGCACAGAATATGTGTCAACTTGGGCAAAAAAGTGAACAGATTGTTTAAGACAATCCCTGTCCCACTGTGGGACGCAACTTTTCGGCACTCTGAATCCCCACCCTGCGATTTGTCGGGGACCCTAATATACAGGTTAAACGGGATTCCTGGGACTTGTGGCCAGGTGATCCTAATTCGAATGGTGGCACTTTGTGTCGCCGGGTGTTGGTCGCTAGTTGTGCGGTACTGATGGGGTTAAAGGTCACGTCAGGAAATTGCACGAGACGGGATAGCTGGCAAGAAACCAAGTTTCTTTCTGACGAATCGTGATTAAAGCGACGTCCTGCTTTAGTATTATTATTATTATTATTATTATTATTATTATCATCATCATCATCATTACTATAATTACTACTATTATTACTATTATTATTATTATTATTATTCACCTAAAATGTTTAGGCCTCCTACCCCTACCCTCCCCCCTTTTCTAATGGTTTTAAGAGGTCTGAGCCAGCCAGTACTTTCTTTACGTTAGTGCTCATGGGTACTATCCTACTATGCATTTTTACTTTGCCCGTGCAAGCTTTAACACTTTGCCGAGACTAACACTGTTTTTTTTTTACTAGTTTGAAAATGATACGGGGAAGGACATGTTGTGTGATCAAAGAAGACCGCAAGCTGGACTCAGTAACCTTATCTAGGCTGGTGAACATTGTGGTGCAGCGTGGGACATCTAGATATGAACATTTCCCCAAAGGCACAGAATGTCTTATTAATCAACAGAGAACAGTTTTAATCAGTCCTTTACTCTCGTAAGAAAGATCTGAACATCAAGGAAGATTAGCTAATAAACAACATCCTGTCTCGGAAGCTGAAATATTTTGGTCATATCAAGAGCCATAACTGATTGTAAAAATTATATCAGAAGGCATGGTACCAGGAAGGAGATGCAGGGGCCGACCGACCGACACGAAGATGGGCACACGATATCAGTGACTCCTTGAGTATGAAAGTATATGAGGTGGAAGAGTTGGCTGAAGACCATGTTTCTCTTAACAGACCGTGATGAGAGCGACGTTCTGCAAAGGACCTGCTACATTATGATGATGACTCTCGAATAGCTATTGAAGAAGAGTTTGGAGAACCTATGGACCTGCCCGGCATGCTGTGATGATAGTCCTCGATAATCACTAACTCCTGTGCTGATATTACTATTAAATTAACCCTAATAAGTACGGATCATATGTTAATTTCATGTTATTTTGTCTGTCAAAAAGCCGGGACACCGGTCTAGTCGTCACACTTTAGAGGCGGCTGGTGGCGTAGTGCTCAGATCTGCTCCTCAGTATGAAAATACCTACAGGTTACCAGCTTCTGGTCAGAAGTTTGATGTGCAACAGGTGCATCAGGTGATTCAGGTGGGAGCATGTGTATTGTTTTTCATGTTATCGCGTCGTCAGTGGCAGATTAAGATTCTTTGGCACATGCGTATGAGTACTATTGCTTCTGCTGCTAGCGATACTAATACTATTACTGCTACTGCCACTATATTAGCAATACTGTTACTAATATTATTACTACTACTATCAGTACTAGTGCTGTTTCTCCCCCTCCTCCCCCTACACTACTACTACTACTACAACAACTACTACTACTACTACTACTACTACTACTACTACTACTACTACTACTACTACTACTACTACTACCACCACCATCACTGCTGCTGCCTTTGCTATTACTGTTACTACTACTGTTAGTATTACTCCCTCTGCTGCTTCCATTATCGCCACTAATGATGGTGCTGCTGCTAGTACAGCTGCTGCTACTGTTGCTGCTAGTACTACTACTGATGTTGCTGCTGTTGATGTTGCTTCGGCTGCTGTTAGTACTACTACCACTACTATTGCTGATGCTGCTGTTTCTGCTGCTGCTACGGCTGCTACTGCCAATGCTATTATTACAACAACTATACTGCTGCTGCTACTACTACTGCTGCTGCTACTGTAGCCCAGGCAGAAAATTGACAAACATTTTATGTCTCAATTATAGCCATGAGAGTTAAACAAGACACATAGGGCTCGCAATCTATTTAACCACTCCGTTCTATCCGATATCGTGGATAGAATCCAGCCCAGCACGTTTGTCCTTTTCCATCAACCACTATACCTTTTGGAGCTATTTCTAGAAAAGGCGGTTCATTTTAAGCTTCTTTTGGACATCTGGCTTCCTCAGTTCCTTTATTTCCTATTTTAGTGCTTGATTGGGTGACTCTCTGCCTAGGGCGCGTCCAGTCATATCCAAAGGTTGCCAAGATATTTATCTTATTTCTTCACCTTTTTATTTCCTTCACATCATCAGCGACCTGGTTGGCCTTCAGCTCCAGGACACAACTGGGGTATGTCTGCTTTGATTGCATCAACACTGTAGGAATCCTTTTCAGGGCTCTTGATGGAATTCAATGACATTCCATTTTATATGGCGTGCATAACCTAGTCACAATTAAAACCTAAAGCTTCCCATTCGGGGATGCTGATAGAACGTGACGATGTTGTTTTTTTTTTTTTTTTTTCAGCAAAGCACCTACCCAAGAAATTTTCCTCAGGCATTTGTTTTCAAATGAATTTAACTATCGCAAATTTTATTATGATAGTAAGTATTGATCAGATTTATGATAACAGTTGTGATTGTAATCATCATCACTAAGTTGAGCTGTTCCAAGCTGAATTTATCAGGCAAGAATGGATTGCAACACTAAGCACTTCAAGAATAGCAGTCCTAACCTTTATCTTTGTGCCAGGTTATGCGGGTGTTCAAGGAAACGAGCGCGCAGACTATCTTGCTGCTGCTTTGGCTTGTCCGGCACTGGACAGAAGTGATGTTATCAATGCGGAGGAGATCTGAGCATCTATGGATCTGTCCGGAGTGCTGTGATGATAATCCTTTCTAATCACTAATCACTAGCCGTTCATATTGCTCACCGTCTGTCCCCAGCTCAATTCTATCTTGAGCATTTTTCTCTTTTTTTCCTGTAAAGAAATGTGCGTGTCCTATATATGACGTTGCTGAAGTAACCCCAGCATGTTTTTTTTTTTTACTGTTACGGTATTTCTAGTCTAATTTCACATTCAGTGGTTCGCCATTGCCCACTGAAAGGTCAGCTCTCGGTACTTCTGTCTAAACCAACGCAAGACGGCCTGCTGCCAAATCGCCTGCAGCTGGGATCGAACCCGGCACACTAGCATTACGAAATGAAATTTAGTCCAGCACCTTTCGCCTCTCTCATCAACGTTCGTCCTAGGGTTCTGTCACAGTAATCATGCTGAATGTATTAGCATATATTACTAAAATATTTTAGCAAGCAAAGAAGGCATCACTTCGCATCCTTTATCTGTGATTACAGGATATTCTAGAAAGTCGACTTAAAGACGTGACTTACGACCGTGACTCAAGTGCCATGCTGGGGAAAGAATTAGTCGATGAAATACATCGAGGTGTCAAGATGTTCCAGTGGTCCCGGTACAAGTTCGTGTGTCAAGTGATTGTAGGCCAGAGGCTTGGCCAAGAAATCCGGGTGAGTAGCCTGACGACGACGATGACGATGTTGATGATGATAATGATGATAATGTTGATGATGATGATGATAATGATGATGATGAGTATGTTGGTTGTTTAAAAAGTATATGGTTAAGCCCCAGCGAGGAAGAATCAAAATTGAAATTTTAAGAGGATGGATCTTCCCGGGAGCACCATAAGTTGTAAGTTGTAGACTATCGCACTGTCATTAAGTAATTTAAAAAAAAAGGTGCTTTTGAGTTGAAATGCTATAGAAAGATTTTCAGAATAGTATGGGCAAAGAAGAGAAGAGATACTGACATTTTAAAAGGTCTGAACATCAATGAAGATTGGCTAATAAACAGCATCCTGTCTCGGAAGCTGAAATATGTTGGTCATATCAAGCGCCATAGCGGATTGGAACAACAAAAACAACAACAACAAAATAATAATAATAATAACAGAAGCATTGTACCAGGAAGGAGGGGCTGGGGCAGGCCATTACGAAGATGGGCACAGGATATTAGTCACTCCTTGAATATAAAAGTATACGAGGCGGGAGAGCTGGAGAGAGACTGAGTTTCTTTCAGGCACACTGTGATCAGAGTTTCAGCTTGTAAGTGCGGTGCGTTGACATTCAGGGTTTTAAAGCCATGAAAGGCTTGCATCTATCTATGTGAAGCTAGTGTATAGAGACAAGGTAGTCGATTAGTTAGTCTTTCTTCTTGAACCTAGGGTGGCGCACAGGGCAGAGGTCATAGCTCTCCATGTCTAGCTGTTCGTTGTTGTAGGTCTTGGAATTTTATTAGGCTCATGATTTAGCCTTTCCTGGTGATGGTTCTACGCAGGGTCTCTCTTGGTCTTCCCTGTTTTCTTTTCCCTTCTGGTGTCCACTGAGTGCTTGATGGGAGAGTCCTGTCTTAACCATTCTAAGTGCATAGGCGATGTATTTCCAGCAAGTCGATGAAAGAATATATTGCGCGTGGAAGAGGAGGAGAACGCTGAGTCCCATTAACGTTTTTCAGGAGGGTCCCAGTGGTCCTAAGCCTTGTTTAGATCAGAAATAATAATAATATTACCAAGTAAAGTAAAGGACCATTTGCTACGCCTTTCAGGCGTATTTGATATATAGGGCTAGATCTTTACTTAAAAGACCAAACAGCACTTGGTGGGTGATGTGGTCAGCATCACGCCGGACGATTTTACTTCCCAGGACTGTACCTGGTACCCACTCAAGGCTGGTTCGACCGGGGAGCCAAAGTCATATTTAAAAAAAAGTCCTGCCCCCAGCAGGAACAGAACCCATGACTTTCCGATCCGCAGACGAGCGTGTAGCCGTTAGACCACAACGGGTGCAAATAATAATAATAATAATAACAATGTGCTGGATGGCAAAAATATTGCAATAAATTTGATATAATATAAAATATATAAACAAATGCTTGAAAAGAGAACTTGTCACTGTTAAGAGGGCTAGTTAATCAATTTACCAAATTTGGGGAAAGAGTTAGCCTTTTCAAGTCCCCCTCCACACCACTATTATTTTGAAGGGGCCCCCAGGCCCCTAGTAAAGTATTTTCCCACTACCAATCGTAGCCTTATTCAGGAACGCCAAACAATACACGAGTGCTGGCGGCCGAAACTGCTTTGAAGCTATCCTTGTCTCTTTACTATAGTATCTATGACAGTAGAAGACAAGTCACAAATACTTTTAATTTAAATGGATGCATGAACTAATCAAGAATCACTGAACTCGGGTCATTCTCCCAACTGCTCCGTCTCTTTCCACGGTAGCCAACGAAGAGTCGGCTATTTTGCTTGTCGTACTAGTTGTAACCTCATTAAAAATTCGTCTGTTTCCCTCCGAGTGTTGAATGTCGGTTATTGAAACGTTGGTCTCCCCACGGAAAGTAGGTCAATTCCATTGATAAGTAAGTCGGACTAGTCTACCGTGGTCGGGGTTATGGGTGTGGGGGTCTGTTGTTGTCTTGCATTTACGTTTTTACTGCAAGAAAGAGACTTCCTGTGACATAGGTTCATCACTCTCTAAAGTGGTTGTAAGTTAGACCCAGTTGTCGATGTTTTATGGAGTTTTAAAACCTCTGGCAAAGGTGAAATATACAACACTCGATGTCAACGGAATTGCGGAACACACCAGTGAAAGTGACCCAAGGTCGCGTGGCTCAAGGTCGTCTAATCAGAAGCTAGCTATACTGAAGATCGACCAGTCAGAATTTAGCTAGTGTGGGCGGTCGGTGGGGGAGACCGCCATTATAATTATAACCTTGAATGTCTTCTAGAACCTCTACTTACCCCCTGGTGAATTAGTCTTTCAGTGTATGGATTCTCTGTCTGTTCAGTTGCGTTGTCAATTTGAAGTTTTAGGTGGGAACAACGGATCAACGTCATGTCACACTGGTAGTAACCCATACGTGCTCCCTTTTGTTTTCTTCTAACTCAAGTCTCAGTGAAGAAGCTCACCATAGTGCACGGGCTCTGTAGCACCGGCGAGGATCCTGAAATACTTTGGGTAGATTTTCAACTCAAAGAATTGCCCGGCAGCGCCTTTATGCTACTCTTTCTGATTTCCAAGATTTTTTTTACGTGCGCAACAATGCACACGTGCGTCCGATCTCACTACCCAGAGACCAGGGGAAATTACTAGAAGTCTAAGTCTTTACCGGGAATTGAACTCGGAATCTCTAGCACTCCAGGTAGACACCATGCCTCGAGACCACGCAGCCCCCTGCGTTGTCAATTTTATCACAAAGATCCTTCACCCAGTTCGCTTTATCATAAAGTAGCCCACTGCCCAGAGTCACGGCAGCAACCAGTCTGCCTGCTCATTAACCTACACACTTGAATAACATAATTCTTCCTAAGTGATTGATAAAGTGTACTGTAGCCATTATTGCTGTAGAAACAAGTCGGCAGTATTCAATTGATCTATTATTTCTTCTTTACTGAATGATAGTCTTCTAGATTAAATAGTTTAGAAAATAAAAAACATTTTGTGTAATAAATCCATGTTACTGGAGGTTAGGAAAAGAATTATCATATTCTATATAAAGCCAGTTTTAAGATACAGCAATATCTTGAGGCCTCATTGATGTGTTTTTACAGAAGAATGCTTAGAATTCCTTGGAGCAGCCCAGATGTTTTGAAAGAGTGCGAATGATCGAAGATAACTTATCACAAACTCTAGAGACAGTCATAATTTTTTGGTTATTTTATGAGACGACAGAAAATGGAACATGTTGTGACCATTGGAAAGATTTGTCAAAAGAGAGACATAGACTGACAGCGTGAAAATAGTTTTGACAGTCTTTCATCATGGCATGGAGGGATGTCAGCACTCGAACTCCTACACGCAGTTGCGGATCGCAGACTATGGAGAGGCATTATCGCTCACGCCAGTCAGCAAGGCACTCGGTGATGATGATAGCAACTATTGCAGTAAAAACATGTCACCAGCAATTCAAGTTGATGTACTGATTTCTCTTTCTGTCCTTCTTTGACAATTCTCAGTCTGCCTGCCTACTTTGTCTGCCCAAACACATTGCACCCTGTCCTTCCGACCGTATATCTGTCTGTCTGGCTGATTAGCTGGCCTAGACGGCCTATTTACATGTCAGTCTGACCAACTGTCTTCCTGTCTGTCTGCATGTCCGTCCGTCCGCCTGTCCTTGCCCCTGTCCGCCCGCCCATCCACCCACTGTTTAAAGTTAAAATTGTACAAGTGAGGAGATTATTTCATTGCACTGGGTTCTATCCCTATAGGGTCTAGCCGCCTGCCGAAAGTGTCACACAAAGCATCAACCCCATTGCCCCAGTGACGATGCCCCGTGGTTTCCGTAAAAATATTCCTTTTAAACTGAAAGTGAAACGAACCTACCACTGCCAGAGCGCAAGAAAGACTGCTTGACCACTTCGCCACGGAAACCTCCCACATTTATTTGTTAACCCTGCAACACCCAACAAGCAACTAAACATTTTCTCGTTTTTGCAGGTTGTGAGTCGATGTGTTTGGGATACGAGCCTTGACAACTTCACCTGCGTGCAGTACAGCAACAAAAGCCTGTTTGTTGTAGCGCACTGCTTTGGAATTTACTTTGAATAATTACGCTTATAAATAGGTTTGAATGTTTAAGTCTCTAATGCCCTAAATATAAGTCTGACTTAAGTTTGAATGTTCAAGTCTCTAATGCCGTAAAAATAACAGCTAGCTGATGTAATAAAACAGTTAAATGTAGACTATTCCAGGCAAAATATCTGCTTAACTGAGGTGAGACAGTGAATACTTAGAATCTGTATAGAGCAGACTATTATATATGGGGAGGAATCATAAAAATGGCGTCATGGCGCGAAGGGGCATACTATGAGAAATTATTGAAAGCCTTGAGCTGAAATGATAACAAATGCTAATGTTACTGGCTGGTGGAACAGGTGGTTAGCCTGTTATAACAATTTTGGTTTGTATGTACTTGCAAGCTAAAACTGACAGACTTACAGATTGAAACTCTCCGAAAGTGCCCAGCGAGAAAAACTATCAGGAGAAAATTATCTCAATGGTCTGCGGCGGTGACACTAGAAACACATGTTGCGAATCCTTTACAGGACGTTGCAGAACCAATCCCAACAGCCCCTTGCTGTTGTGTGGTTTTTCTAGGCTAATTTACGTCCTGTAGTTTGCCATAATCTGGGCGGTCGGCTTTCTTGATACCACTGTCGAAACCAACGCAAGGCGCATGGCCCGCACCTGGGATCGAACCTGGCATCCCAGCATTACGAAGCGTTCTCATCCACTTAGCCGCAGAGCCGACAGAAACATATAGTCCCGACTTTTCCTTGCCGGACCGTACAGGCTTTGTGTGTTATGTAGGTATCCTTGACTGAGCTGCTAGAGATCAACTGGCTCACTGGTTTCGTGTTTTGACGGTACTCCTCGCGCGGAGATTTTTATAGTAGGTTGCTTGAGGGCATTCTCTATTAACTGGTAAACCATTTGATTTGCCGTCTTTGTATGTAATTTAGAAGTGGTTCTGGCTTACTTTGTCTCTTATTATGTAATTCCTTATTTTTTATCTCTTCTGGTCTTCTGGTCACTCCTGTAACATTACTATTCGTTAGAATATATTCAATCTGCACCTGTATTTCTCTCACGCAATAACATATTTCAGTTTGCTATGTTGATGTGTCCTTAACATACATAACAGAGTATTTTAAGAAGCGCATATCATTCAATAGTCATGGAAAGTAAGGGCAGCTGGCATGGTGCTGACCACATCACAAATCATGGGCCAAATAGTCTATAAAATATAGGTTTAGCCCTATACGCCAAATAGGCGTAGGTCATATTTATGGCGCTTGCAGGGTCCTTTGTGTCTTATTGTTTTTTAATTCATTCAATAAAACACTTTTTATACTCGATTTGGGGAAGGGTGTGGGGGAAAAAAAAAAAAGGGGGGGGGGGGGGGGGCGGCGTTTTCGCAAATCACGACCTATTCTTCTGCAGATTCGTTTTTGTTTTCAGAAATCACGATCTGATCTTTTTTAAATCCACTCACACGAACACAATTTGTAACGCTATGTACAAGTAATTTCCTGTTCCAGTTTCCTCGCATTTTATAATCAGTTTATAATTACTGCTGATCTCCCCAACAATGAGTACACACTTTGCCCGATAATTCGATGTCCTTAGTGTGTGCTCTGTCCAGTGTAGTTTTTAATTTGCCCAACAAACAGTTATGTTCCTTATATTTCATCTTCATTACCGATAAAACCTTTGTCATATATACTGGCTTAATATTTTCCTCGAAATTTTTTTCTTTTCATATGTCATGCTAGCTTTATGTAAATCTCCACATTTCACGCTTATTTGAACTTTGTGAAAGCAAGTGTTCCGAGTATTGTCCTCGTGTCTTGAATGCAAGATATTTGTCTTTGTGATCACAGTGAATTGTTCCATTTTGTGTGTATTGTATTTGCTGCCCTTTTTGACATTTATTTTCATCTGGTCGAAGATTCGACATCACAGCAGTAGGACAAGCCCACATTAGAGTCGCCTCCCTTCCCAGCAGAGATTAAAATGAGTCTCCATACTGAGTCTTGAGTGCAGGGATTGACTTTCTGGCGCTGCAGAAACGGAGTGCAACAAATGATTCATAAAAACTCCCGCCAAGATGATGTGATTATTTATAATAGATGGCTCTGGGTTGATAGGCAGACGAAGTATATATTGTTTATGGCAAAACTGAATGGACGACACTTAGTGAAGCAAAGCCTGACATATGCAATCGCAACGTCTAGTTTGAGAATATAGGTGGAGGCAGTCACTACTGCCTTACGCTGGCTTGAGAAATAGCTATATACACGTGTCGCAATTTTAACTGGTTCACATAGAAAGTTGAAAAAGGTGAAGAGAGGCATGCTGCGGGCAGAGTGGATCACTTCAGAGGTCATGGGTAGTTAGCGTCATTTGGATATGGATATTTTCGCCAATGTATGCTGGTGTGTTGTCAAACGAGCAGGCAGATAGACTGGCCGGCTCTGCACCACTTAGTGGGAAATAGATGTATAACAAGCTAGAGTTAGGGTCCTCTTGGAGCCAATAAACAGTGCGGAGGCACAAATTGATCATTATGGTCTCAGGATAATGACACTGCGGGGAATTACGAATGAATCAAGGGAAAGGCGAAACGGATATACAGTCAGAAAATTAGTTACTGATGCTATTGGAATTGGAATTCTTCGCTTGCTGCTGAAGTATGTATTTAAGTTGCATCCCACCAGGACATCACACAATGATAAACCCCTGGTGACACAAAGGGCCACCATGCGGATGAGGATCACCCGTGGAGAAGTTCCAGAAACCCCGTTTAGCCGTTAGGCAATTTTTCAGGCCCGACTATATTTAGGGCTCTCGTTAAAAGCCAGGGTGGGGCTTCAAAATAACTAAAAATTGCATCCCACAAGGGGATGACGAGAACTTGCTGCTCAAGATATGTAGGTAGTTTGTACCCCACCAGGACATAACACAAGCGACAAACACCCGGTGACACAGAGTGCCACCACGCGGATGAAGATCACCCGTGGAGAGGTCACAGAAATCCCTTTCAGCCGCAAGGCCACATCTATGGCTAGGACTTATTTATGGCCCAGCTATATTTAGGGCCCCCGGAAAAAGCCAGGATTGGGCTTCAATATAACAAACAATTGCATCCCACAAAAGGACGACTTATGTATAAGGAATCCCTGCTGAAGATGGGATAGTCACGGACCAGTAGCCTGGGTTCCAGTATGGAAAGATCACTAATACAGTACAACTGGCGATGATTCGCGGGCCGCTTGTTAGACCTCCGCTCGCCAGATCTGGTCATTAGAATAGCCCTGACATCAAGGAAAGTGTAAAAAAAAAGGCAATCAGTACACGTGGCAGAAGGTTGTGGGCAGACACGATGACCAATGCCAAACCGTTTGGACTTAAGAAAGAAGATTTTTATGTAGTTCTAACCGTTAAATATTTGTTTGTTTGTTTTAGTATCCAGAAGCCATTAGTTGTTAACCCTTAGGCTCGGTATTATGGATATCGCAACCTTTCGGCCTTGATTCCATTGTAAATACCGTAAATCTGGAAGAAATGTGGCTTTTCTGCCTACCCCCGGTATTGAACCCGGACCACAAGGAGTTCGTCACTCGGTCTCCGCGCAATCCGGTTTAGCCAACTACGCTAGAGAGCCGAGCAACCGTTATAAGTATCTGCTTCTTAAAGTCCATACCATGTGGCGTTGGTAGTCATGTCTACCCACAACCTTCCGTCTTTTGTACTCTCAATCAATTTTGGCACAGATGATCCTCCGTGTTATAAGGCCAAATTGTTCAGCATCTTTTCTCTCTCTCTCTCTCTCTCTCTCTCTCTCTCTCTCTCTCTCTCTCTCTCTCTCTCTCCCTCCCTCTCTCTCTCTCTCTTTCTCTCTCTCTCTTTCTCTCTCTCTCTCTCTTCTCTCTCTCTTTCTCTCTCTCTCTCTCTTTCTCTCTCTTTCTCTCTCTCTCTCTCTCTGCGTCTCTCTCTCTCTCTCTCTCTCTCTCTCTCTCTGCCTTTCTTTCCTTTCAACTTTTCCACCGTCATGAAGTACTCCAGTTTTCTCCTTCTCATGACATGGCCAAAGGAAGATTGTCTCCGTCTGATGGAAGAATTCAGTTCTCTTCGTGAGTTAGTTTCTTCAAAGACATCTTCATTACTCTTTTCCTTTGCCCAGCATATTCTCATCATTTGGCCATAAAACTACATCTCCGCAGCTTCCAAATAGTCGAAGCACATGGAAAGCATCCGACGGAAGACGTGTCGTAGAGATAAAGAACAGAATATGGCAAGCTAAAACTACATTTTATAAAATTAAGAACATTTTCTGCAATAAATCCATATCATGGAGGCTAGAAAAATAATTCCCATTCGCTTTATAGAGCCAGTTTCAACATATCGCTGTTAATTCTGGACATTTACTAAACAAACCAAACAATTTCTTGAGGCCTCGAAAAGATAGCTTTACACAAGAGTTCTAGAATTATCTTGACAGCCCCTCCCCCCCCCCCCACCCACCCCCACCCGCCCCATTAAAAGAAAAGCAAAATACGTTTTGAAAGGGCTCGACTGGATTCTCATCCAAATGGTGGCACTTTGTGTCACTAGTTGTGAATCGCTCGTCGTGTGGTCCTGGTTGCGTTGAATGCCATTTCCAAATGCTGTGCTTTGCCACAGTTAACCGAACTTTATTAAATCTGCTAAACATGAGTATGGTATTTTCTTCATTATTTCCCTTTACAACTTTAGTTTATTAAAAAGACAAACACCTTTGCAGACGTAGAGCTTTTCATAATCCTGTATTCACTACAACCGCCATTTAATTAAAAAAATAAAAGAGAATAATGAGTCTACTGCAGTAAATGTGGGGTATATAGGGCCAGACCGACATTATCATTCACCGGGCGGCGCTCGAACAGTAATGTGTTTAACGTGACTCCGGTCCCGTATGTGACATGTGGAACCTACAAAGGTCTGCCTACAAAGGACATTCATAAAGAAATATTTTCTGTTTATGCTGACAAATTTTTAACACGTAA